TACAAAGGTACTCAGAGATGAGGCTTTTGAGTTTATTTTACAAAACTATTAAAACTTTGGTCTAGTACAATAAAAGAGCCACAAACCAATAATACCTATTTACAAAGAAAAAAAAACTGAAAATGAAATATTTGTAAATCAAATCCAGTGGCAAATTTAATGAATAAATCACCAGGATAAGGATAATTAAGTCCAAGTCAGCAAAAACAATCCAACATGAAGAAATCTCTAATATAAAAACCACCATTAACTAGATTAAAGGAGAACACTGGTAGACATTTTGATTGAGGCAAACAATGTCAGATAAAATTCAACAAAGATTCCTGATCAAAACTCAGAAAGGAACTTATATCAGGAATAAAATTCATCTACCTAAAATATCTGGCCAGCATCACTCTCAGTGATGGAATTTTAGAGTCATTCCCATGTAAGTCTGGAAGGAGTTGTGAATGTTGGCTGTCTTTGCTCTGATTCAACACCGCCTTTTGGAAAGCCCAGCAATATGACAAGGGACAAGAAATAAGAGGTACAGGTATCAGAGAAGAAGAAAAAGGCTTGCCAGTTTGAAGGTTGTACGCATACACACAAACTCATAGGCAACACATTAAACCCATGGCCTTGTGTTTATAAATGTGTAGGGATGGTTCTAGGAGGTGCCAAACTGCGAACCATGGCTTCATCTGGAGAGGGAAGAAGGAGCAGAAGGAGTGAAGGTAAAGAGGAAACTTGAACTTTTATTCTTTTATAGTTTATTGTTTGTAGTTGTTTTTAAAATGACAGCTTTCATAAATTAAAAAAAAAAGGATTTAAACATCAAAAGTTAGATTCAAGGCTTAGACTCAGGCCATGAGTTGTCAAGTTAGTTCCACATAGTGGGTTTTGTATTTTAGAAATCAGAAAGCGAAAGAAAGGTGGAGCCACTGAGAATTGCCCACCAAGAATTAGTCATTAAGGGCATTATGCTGGTCCTTCATTTCTACTTGAAAATAATACTCCAGGGACGAAGAGGGATCCCTAGCTTAGGAAGCAACTCTACATTCATAATTTAATTTGACTTATTCCTTATTGGTGACAAGAAAATGTCTTAAAGTGGTGACCCAAAGGACACATCCTAAACAGATTATTTGAGACTAGATCTAGACTGCCTCCAACTTTCAAAGCCACAGAGAACCTCCACTCAAGAGACCCGCTGACGGACAGATGGAATGGGTCCCTCCCACTGTATGCTTCCCAGCTATGCCTTCATTCCAGAACACACCAGGTTCTTTCTTATTTCTAGGGTTCTACGAATGTTTCCCTCTGCCTGGAATGTCCTCCCTCCCCCTGCTACACTTAAAATGAGCTCCCACCCATCAGAAATAAGCTAACCCAGCTGTCCTGACTGTTCCCCTTCAGAAGATCTGCTTCCAAGGTTGGCCCTTGGCTGGCATCTGGGAACATGGATTTGGGGAGGGTCCTGCCATTCCTGGAACTGCTAGGAGCAGCTCTCTGTGCCTACACTGTACAAATGGTTTATGCTGAACACCTGTTTTCCTTCTGGGTGTCTGGAAATTTGGCATATAGCAGGCAGAGGGTGCCTATGTGGTCAGTCCTAATAAAGACCCCAGGCCCTGAGTCTCTTAGAAGCTTCTTTGGTTGCCAACACCTGCTCTCCTGCCCCAGCCACCCAATGGCCCTCTCTGTCTTTCATATCCTTTCTCAGAGGCTGGACAAACACGTGAACACATTTTGTGTAATGGCTGCATTTTAAACATGTTGTTCTACCACTTGTTTTTCTTACCTAACAACAAATATTGAATTAAAAATATATTTACTTTTGACTTTTAATCTTACAAATGGAGATATAATTCACATCTTATAATATGCGCTCTTTTTAAAGTATGCAATTTGGAGTGGAGGTGTAGCTCAGTGGTAGAAAGCAGGGCCCTGGTTCAAACCCATCACAAAACAAAACAAAACAAACAAACATACTAAAAAACCCCAAACCAAACCAAAACAAAACAGGATACAATTTCTGTGATTTTTAGTATAGCCACAAAATTGTGCAAGAATCTCTACTATCTAATTCCAAAACATTTTTATCACCACAAAAAGAAATCCTGTATCCATTAGCAGCCAGGATACTTATTTTTAATTTCGATAGGTTTTGCCATATTGCTCCATCAAAAATTTTTTAAAAATCCTTTTGACTAACTTCTGGGAATTGATTTTATATAATATATAGATCTGAATAAGTTTCCACTTGCCTCTCTTTCCCTCTCCCTCCATATAACAATATCTCACTGGTCTTATATGACAAAGTCCAGAAAAGAAAAGGCAAGTCTTCCACCCCTCACCCCCATTATTTTCGGCATTCTGCACAGAAACTGGGTCCTGACAAGTCTCACACTCACAAGTTCACTGCAAGTCCGGCCTGACTAACCATTCCTTCACAGTTTTAAAGGATACATCCAGACTGTACAAGTATTTGCCACCCTGACCTTGTCAAGGGCAAAGGCATTATATTGCCCTCAGTGTTCTTAGTTTAAGGAAATCAGGGACTAAAGCTATCTATACCAGGTTGTCCTGTCCTTATGATGGTGCCAGCCATCGGATGTCGAACAAGGCTTGCCCTGCATCACGCACCCCTCCCCGCAGGCCCCCACTTATCTGGAAGAACGGTGCACCTTAGAAAATGGACTGTGAATTGTTCCCAGGATTTGCTGCTTGGCTGCCAGCCCCAGTCTGAGAGCACAGCCAGCCAAGCAGCCCAAGGTGGACGACACCTTCTTCCCCTTTCTTCCTCTCCTCCTGTGTTTTTAGGAACGTCCAGAGGGAAGATAATTAAAACCTGCAAGAAATCTGGCTGGCAGAGAAAAAGAAAACCTTGGTGACGACGCCACATGTTTATGGGTAAGTTTTGTAAGTAACACGGTAATAAAAAAAAGAGGCTCTTATAAATAAATGCCACATTCTTCAAAGCTCTGTATAAACGACATTCTTTTTAAGGAGGTAGGGGGGCTTATGCATACTCATGTTCCTTCTCCTCATTTCATTTCCAACAATGAGAAAGGAATCCTAAAAGTACAATTTCCTAGGAACACAGGAGTTGTGGAGCCAACAGCACAGAAATACACACACAGTCATATATGCGTACACACACACACACACACACACACTCTTGCACACGGGGGAAAGAAAAGAGGAGAAGGTACTGGAAGATCTTTATTTCACAGAGCTGTTAGCACAGAACCAAGGGGCAGAAGGGCAGGCATCTCCCCACCCCTGCTAGGGTTTTCTGACTGTTGAACACACACACTTTTAACTCAAAAGACAGAAGCTTTGCAATCCTCTCCTGAGTGAGTGTTGAGTGCTGTCTGACCAACATCAAGATCAGGGTGAGCCTGTGTAATCCCCTTTCATTATTCCTCTGCTTTAGTGATTGTAAGGTGAAACAGAGCCGGCTGCCTCTCGCATGTGACACAAGGCTCAGGGACTCACATTCCAGAGTGGCCCTCCCCAGGAACCAGCTGCGGGCAGGTAACTGAAGCAGCCCTTGGCCTTGCTGTTAATAAGAGTAATTGGCACGCCACTGAGGGGCTGCTGGAACACAGTGATTTGCTCAGTAAGGGGGTCTCCCTTGACCATATGTGCAGGCCGCGGTGATAGAAATATTTTCCATATGAGCTTTCCCCTCGCCTGCTTAAGTGCTCAGGGCTGAGTTAGGCCAGCCCATTTGTCATTTACTCTACACAGTAAAAAATCAACAGGGAAGTTGCGAACCTCAGCTACAACTAGAGGGCAATGGTCTGCTTTCAGCTTCCAGCATCACTAATCCTTTCAGTTCCTCCAGTTCCCATTCAAAAGCTCAATCCCCCCACAGACCCAGCCTGTATCTGGAGAGCAGAGGACATGGGTAACTAGCAGGCGAAAAGCCTACAACAAATGACCCGTTGCTGCACGCCTCAGAGCCGCACGTCTATTTTGAACAGAGCAACAAGCCTGCCGAAACCACAGCTGGCTCTGCAGCCAGGCTGGGGACTGCTCTCACTTCCAGACCTCTCAGAAAAGGGAAAGTAATCACATTAGGCTTTCAGAGCCAGCTTGGTCCCTGACAAGGCTAACAAAAGGCGAAGCTGTGAAGTGGCCTCGTGGCCTTTTCTAAGAGATACACTTTTCACTTGGCTTTTCAAAGAGGAAGACAGATTTGGGAGAAAGGCTGTCCCTTCATACTCAGGCATCGGTCTCTGAGCTTTTCCATCAAGGCAAGGAGTGACAGGAGTGGAGGAGGTAAACTGGTCACAGGCTTATTTGCAGGTGAAGCACTGAGTGCTTTCTCTCTGGGCTGAGGATCAACCCTTCCAGTTCTCTGCCTGTATCAGAAACTGGCTCCCAGAGGTCTCAGGAATGTTAAAAAAAATGTAACCAGTAAACACATGAGCTAAACCAATAAGAGTAAATCATCTTCTTGGCCTTAAAACATGCCTCTCTCTATGGTAGATCTGAGCACACTCCTAGCCCCACTGGACATCACTGTCCCTCTTCAAACCTACGATAGAAAGTTATGCACAGGTCCTCCAAGCACATCAAAGCAAAATAGGAGAAAAAATGTGGTGTAGAAGCAGGAAAGAAAGACCAATCCCTCTTGCATGCATATTCTCTCTGCAGCACTGGAGAAAATTTCCCCAAAGGGAATTTCCTTTCCTGCTTTTGTACCAGTCCCTACTGGAATCTGACATACCACATATTTTGTTCTGCAACAGCATCTGTCACCCAGGCCAGCTCCCCAGTGTGGCAACTATACAGACAGGCTCAGAATGAAACTTTAGAAAGTACAGGATTCTTCAAGAAGAAAAGAAGTCTTCATATAAGAGAAGGCAAGAGAAGCCTAAAAAAGCAATAGCAAGCATTATTCTCTGCACACCATAAAAACCCATTGCCTGATCCCTGTTGGTAGATAGAAGATGAAATTTAATGCTGACAAAAGTATAACTTCTGACAAGATATTTTATTTGGCTTACCTCTCCCCCAGGTCTTGCTAACATTGCTGTTTGAACGTGGAGCAATGTTAATATCAGGTAGCTGACAAACATTATTACCCAAAGTTAGAGCTACCCTAGAGGAGAACTCCGTCTGCCAAGTGCTAACAGCTAGCAGATGCACTTGTGTCTCGGGATTCCAGCCCTGGAGTTCCGCTAGGCACCGCGCTGGTTCCCTCGGCTCTCCCTCACTGTACTACCCGGCGCTCCGAGCTCAGCCTCTGCTCTGAAGAAAACTGGTAAGCTGATCTCTTCATGTAATAACTTCTCCCGGCTGGGGGAGGGGACAGGAGCCAGCTGGGAGCTGGGGGGCTGCCTTTAACAGAAAGCAGAAAGGGGAGGGACAGAAATGATCAATGTGGAGGTCTGCATCTGGTCTCATTCATAAAAAGAGCTCCAAGGTAAGCACTTCACATGCAGGGGGACAGCCCCTGCCTCATCAATCGAGGTAGGCAGGAGGCAGCGAACTGCAGCAGGATGAGCTCCAGGCTGGGAGCTGGGAGGCTGGGGCCTTCCTAGTCCAGGATCTGGTGCTGACAAGAGCTGTGTGTACTGGGCCAGTTGCCATCCCTCTCTGGGTACAGTTGCTTATTCTCACTAATACAGTCAAGGGTGGGTGGATGAATTCCCTAATTCTGGATTGATGGTGACAGAGACCTAGGCAGTCTTAGTTATGCATTATGAAGGGCAGCCTTCAAGGGGAAAGAAGTCACCAGGGTGCTGTGTGTTTGTGCACCAATCATATGGATGTGAATGGACCAGAGCTGGGGAATCCACCATATCTTCCTCTTGCTGCATTCCTGGGCCACTGTGCCTAATTACTGTTGCCTGTAATGTAAAAATAAGTGGTAAGGTGGGAACAAGTGACTCCCAGGTATGAGGTAAGGCTAGCAGAATGCATGGAAATGCAGATGGCTTTAAAGAAATAAAAGAGCTACCACTTAGTTGGCTCAGAATAACCATAAAAATGGTGGCTGGGGACAGGAGGAGTGTGGGGAGCAGGCTGCAGAACAGGCCTTGCTAAAGCTGACACAGGTCTACTTGAGACATAGTTCAGGGTCAACTCTGATTCAAGGCCATAGCAAGGATAGTGAACACTAAGTGAACACTAAGCAAGTATTGGATTCTGCCTAGAATGGGCATATGGAACCATTCTGAGGTTGTTGGTGTCCGCAGGGGACAGAGTGACTACATGGAGCAGTGGAAACAAGGGTCCTAGAATCAGACAGGTTCACTTCAAACTCCAGTTCTCCTAACTCCCTGTGGGTCTCTGGTCTCTGAGACACCCCAGTGAACCCCAGCCACTCATTCTGTGAAGTGAGGAAATACCCTCCAACGGTCAGGATGATTTACCAAGAGATCACTTAGGCACAAAATTGGCATTGTTCACGGCACAAAGTAAGTGCTAAAGACACGGGCTTTTCTCTTTGATCTGAAGTAAGTATTGGCACTCAGTCCCAGAAAGTAGATTAACAAACACTTGAAAAGCCTCAGGTTATGGGCATTTCCCTAAATTAATGAGAAAACTTTAAACCTAACTGCAGTTTTCAGTCATCTCAGAGTTTATTATCACCAGTAACATGATGATTTACTGGTGAGGAGTTTTTCCGGGGTCTGGGGAGGCAGCTGGGTGAGGGGGACTCACAATCCCTTTTTCCAGGTCTGTGAGAGGCAGAGGTATGGTGAAGGGGGAGGAAGGAAGAAATGTACCCTCCTCCCCTCTTCTTCCTCCTTATTCATTATTATTATAAAGCATTGGGTCCATTCTGCTACCTAACCAAAGAGGCACTGCTGTTGACTCAGTAGCTTCCCAGAAATGAAGGAATTATTTAAGAAAATTAAAGTTTTTGAAAGACCAGGGTGTTTTTTAGCCAATGGTTAGGAATCTTTCTATAAAGGGCTGGACAGTAAGGATTTTCAGTTTTGCAGACCATATGGTTTCCATGGTTACTACTCAACTCCACCATCACAGCACACAAGCAACCATATATGGTTGCATTCCAATAAAACTTTAGTTATAAAGAAGGTAGCAGACCAGATTTGGTTGTAGTTAACCAACCTCTGGTCTAGACACTTGCCAATCACCTTTAGTCCATTGCAATCTGACCTTTGACATCTCTGCTCCACTACAAGGACTCTGAAAGTGTCATCAATAGCCCCTTTGGTCACAAAATACAAAGGATAGATTTTCAGCTTTTATGTTATTTGACTTCTCTGCAGCATTAGCATGCTCTCCTTTTAAAAAATATTGTGGTAAAATATATGCAACCTAAAAGTTACCATTTTAAACATTATTAAGCATACAAATCTGTGGCATTAAGTACAATGTTGTACAACCATTATCACTATTTATTTCCAGAATTTTTCATCATTTCAAGCAGAAACTTTGTACTTATTAAACATTACCTCTCTACTTCCCACAGTCCTTGGCATCTACCAACCTTTAATCTTCTTTCTTTCTCTCTGAGTTTGCCTGGTCAGTATTTCACATATGTGGAATCATACATTCATTGTCTTTTTTGGTTTGACTTATTTCACTTAGTACAATATTTTCAAGGTTGGTCTGTGCTGGAGTGTACATCAAAACCTCAGTCCTTTTTAAGATTAAATGATATTCCATTGTATGGACACATCACATTTGTTTATCCACAGATCTGCTGATGGATGCTTGTATTGTTTCTACCTTTTTGGCTATCATGAATAATCCTGCTCTGAACACGGGTGTATATGTATCTGTCTGAGTTAAAGCTTTCAGTTCTTTTGTATATATATGCTGGATCATCTAATAGTTCTATGCTTAACTTTTTGAGGAACCACCAAATTGTTTCATACAGTAGTGGCACTATTTGACAGTCCTACCAGCAATACACAAACATTCAATTTCTCTACAAGCTTGTCAACACTTATTATTTTCCATGTTTTGATATTAGCCATCTTAGTGGGTATGAAATATATGTTCTCCTTTTTGAACCACTGTGTTCCCATAGTTTCCTGGAAATCACTCTAGTTTTCTATTGCCTCTGATTAGCCAACATTCTTTGATCATGTTTTATCCTTGGAAGGAAAGGAAGATAGTAAAAATACTATGTCTCTCAAGTTCTCCTCTCCATCCCAAGGACCCAGCCAAGTTAAGGGAACAATGGGATCAAGCCTGGGTCATAATATCCAGATAAATGTTTTCTAGAAGGATGCTGACTTTCTATCATGTATGCTGGGAATTAGGGCAAGTTAGTGTCATCTGTTGGAAGCTGCTTTCTCATATGCAGCTTTGCACTTGGGATGCTGGTCATATGGGGACAAAGCAAGGTAAACCAGTATTTCCACTGCTTCTGTGGCCCACCTTATAAAATCCCTCTTCCTGTGATAACTGGCATGAAACAGAACACTTTGACTGGATGTACACAGCTGGTTGCCACTGGATAGAGTGGTGAGGGATGGGAGGCACTATTTTCTGGTGAAGCACCAGAGCCACCATGTAAACTAGAGGTGCACCTGTCCAAGCCATTGCCACCGGTCTTCCTGTAAAAGCACCTCTCCAGCCTGTTGCCACTAGACTGTCCCCATAAGCATTTTTCAATAGACCTTATGTACCACATTTCATCTCTTGGTGTCTCCTTTGGTCTCTCAGCAACCTATCCCACTGGCCTAGCACAACTGGACCATGGACAGTATAGAGCACTATAATCCTAGCATTATTACAAGAACTTTTCAGATAGTGTCTCCTAAAACACTGATAACAACCTTATTGGACTAAATAACTTGCCCCACGTCACACAATGAGTAATAAATGGCAGAGTCAATGTTCTGCCCCAAGCAGCCTGCCCCAGAGTTAATCTCTGCATGTCAGCATTGCAATGCCACCATTTTTCTGGACTCTCTCCATTCTCCTTGTCACCTCCTAGGCCAAATTCCTAAATGCCTGTGTGCTAGGCCCTCTTTTTCCTCTGTCCACCTTCCTTGGGCCATCTCATCATTTCACTGTCCTTATCCACCCTTTATATACCCATGATTCTGACATGCAGGCCCACAGACCCAGGTACCTAGTGGATATGAGGATCTCTCAAATGTACTCCAAATTCAATGGGTCTAAATCAGAGCTTGCCTTTCCCTGAAACCTGTTCTTTCTGCCATTCCCTCTACCTCCATGAATAACATCATTGCCCGACTCCCAGAGGCTGAAACCAGGCTATTATCCTGGTCCTTCTACCTCCTGACTTCCTCACCCAAATCATCGCCAGGCCTTTTTACACTTCCTTCTAGAGTCTCTCCAGATTCCTTCTGCCCTCGCTCCCATCCTGTCTTCTACCATTTCTTCTTAAGAAGAGATCTCCTCTCATCTGCAGCAACCTCCTTGTTCTGGTCTTTTCTCTTTCCAGCCTCCTTTCCCAACACAACCATTGAGATTCTTCTCAAAAGTGAGTCAATCATGTAACTCTTCTAATTTGTTATATCTTTTTATTCTGAAATAATTATGTATTTACAGAGTAGTTGGGAAGATAGCACAGAGCGTCAGTATTTTCAAGCAATCTCTTCCAATATTAACATCTCAAATAACTATGACATATTTATAAAAGCCAAGAAGTTAATATTATTACAATAATATTAGCTAATTTTATGAACATTTTAATACTTATCTGTAGATCTTGCCTGTGGCAATTATTACTATAGTGTTCTAATAGTGGTTTTCTGTTTCCCTCATGCTTTCTATATTTATTAATCAGAATTCATAAGAATGGAAGATTTGTCCCTCCTTTCCCATTAATTTATTAGTTCCATCATTTATAATTGTCACATTAAGCGTGGGAGTATAAGACTGCAATGTGGTCTCCTCCTGCTCATCCAGCTTACTGTCCCTGTCTTCTGTTCACACACAGCCATTTTGAGCCTCAAGAATTCACCGTTAATGTCCATGTCCTCATGCTCCATGTCTCCTCTCACACTAGCCTCTTCCTGTAAAGTGTCATTCTCTCAAACTTGCTGAGTTAGAGCTGGTTGCTCTTTGCCTCTGAAAACTCAGCTCAAACTGTTTATAAGCACCAATTATTGGAAACCACTTAAACATTCATTGGTAAGGACTAATTTGTGACATCTATAAAATGAGATACTTTGCAACACTTAAAAAGAAAGAAGAAAAGGGGCCAGGGTTGTGGCTTAGTGGTAGAACGCTTGCCTAATATACTTGAGGCACTGGGTTTGATCCCTGGCACTACATAAAAAAATAAATAAAATAAAGGTATTGTATCCATCTAATATATATATATA